TAGGTCAAGATGAAACTTATTTGTAAATGTTTGGGATGTAGGTTAGAACTCACTAATGTTTACTTAGTGTTCATGGACTCTCACAGCACCAGTTAAAGTCAGTGGTCAGCACATAGTTGATCAAATTTAGAACCTGAGATACAACTCGTCAATTAACTTCTTCAAAGGAATTAAAGATATATTCCAATACACACACACCTATTATTCTAAGGTATATTTATTTATAATTTCAGTACTCTGAATGCACTATCATACTTTAAACTTAACAATGTATCTGAAAGCATAATTGACTTTGCAGAATAAAATCAAGACACAATCCACTAGTTATGCAGTATAAGGCATTAGAGTAACCTGCAGAGTATTAAAGTATTAAACAAAATATGATTACGTTATTTTACTTATGACAGATTGCATTCTTTTCATACTTCTGGTCTTTCACTTTAGATTGTGAATGAAGTTATTTACACAATTTAGTGTTTTTTAATTTATGTAAAGGATTGGAATCATTTCTTTAACTTTCACAAAAAAACATTCTCTCAGGGATAAAAGAAGCTCAAACATGAATATATTCTTACAAGCTGTATAATCAAGTCAGTGACAATCAGTCCTCTTAGCTGCAGAAACCTACACTAAAACCACATTAGATTGGAAAATCAAGAAAATATACTAATTTATGGACGCATATCATTTTTTTCATGGAATGACCTTTTGTTTATATTTAGAAAATGTCAGCTCTTCTAAAGCAAGTGTGCAGCAGTTGTCCTTGTTTGACCTTCCTCTGAGGACAGACAATCCTCCTTTGACAGTATTTTTTTTTTTTTTTAAACAAAAAGAAAAACAAGACAGTAATCATGAAAATATAGAGCTGTAAAATGTAACTGTAATGTGATTTGCTGGTTAAGGAATCTTTATTTTAGATTAGGGGAAATGAGACAGAAATGGTAAGGGAGGGATGGAGAGATAGAGAGAGAGAGAGAGAGAGAGAGAGAGAGAGAGAGAGAGAGAGAGAGAGAGAGAGAGAGAGAGAGAGAGAGAGAGATACAAAGAGACAAGCTAACCTGACTGGGAGGAGGGAGGTGTCAGTGTATGTATGTGTATGTGTGTGTTTGTGTGTTTGTGTGTGTGTGTGTGTGTGTGTGTGTGTGTGTGTGTGTGTGTGTGTGAGAGAAACTCAAACCCCCTTGTGAAATGTGCTTACTCTTTCACTTTGCTGTCCTTCCTCACTGTCCCTCAACATAACCTCTGTATGGCATTCTGCCAGAAGATGTGAGGTGTGTGTGGCATATTATTAATATGCAAATAAAACAAACATGGAGGTGTCTGTCTTAAATGAATGAAGAAGACGTGTTTACGTGCACATATCTTCCTCAGTGACACAGTGGGACTCTGCCAAGCCTGACTGGGCGCTGCCTTTACTGCTTTTACTGCCTGCCTTAAACACTTGTTTTTTATAGACGGCAGATGTTATTATCACAGGAGCACTCCAAACACTGAATGCCAAGTGTTCATACAGATCTAGTAGACTTCACTCCACCATATACATTCACATTACTTTCTTGGTAAGTTGTAAACCTGGAGGCAGGGTAGCGCAGACTTGATTGCGAGCTCCCAGCATTTCAGAATTAGCCTGACATTTACTCGACATTGCGCCATGCGTCAGTCTCACCTCAGGCCTCTCCTTCGGTCTCCTCCACAAAATACTCCCCCACCTCTCGGAAAAAAAACACTTGTAAGCACATTTACGATATCTGATCTGAATTAACACTTTGACTGGTAGCAGTGTGGATTTAATTTGCTAGCACACAGAAGTCTAACTGTATCATGTTTGTAAATGTTGAGCTGCTGTCTTCATCTCACAGCCATGCATCCATGTTTTGATTTAATCATCCCAGCAATTCAAGTTCTCCACTGTGGGAGTTCCATTGGATGACATGTTGAACTTTGTAATTGGAGATTAGTTAGCTGGGGCTTGCAGTAGATCAGCATTTTATTGAAGGCCTCCTGATGTTTGATGATTTGCACTGTGGGGTGACAGCATCAAGAGAGTGGCATGCTCCTTTCCTTAGCCTTTTAGCTAAATTGTTTAAACGCTTTAAGAGGATGTGACTAAGATAATCAGCGCATGTTTCTCACTATACTCTGAATATGGTTACAGAACGGGGCAAAAATGTACAAAAACGCCACTATAAAAAGTCTCCTGAATACTAATGTCATGTTATTCCAAAACATCTCATTAGTACGGTGGCCCTGAAGGTTAACCGTACAAACATTTCATGACCGCATTAAACATTTCACTGAACGCCATAAACAGTTCACAAAAATTACAACTGTTTCATGAAACACAAGAACATTGCTTGAAACTGAAAACTATTTCACAAAACTTATAACCAGACACATAACACATTCTGTAATGAGCTCCAGCTCCTTGTCTGTTCTTTTTAAAACACTGTTTAAATTCCATGCAAGACCAAGGTTATCTCTACAGTAGCATCTATTAACAGGAATTGATGTATGACTGTTGCTACAAATTTGGGTTTTGTACAATACAAGATGTGTAGGTTTACCCTTTCAGTTTTCATGAAATCATTTTTTTATTAACTGATGTGCTTTTTCACTTTGTGAATTTTATTTTGTCCTGCAGATTCTTTTTGTCTTTATTTTTCTGTTGTTTTTTTTAACATTTTGTTAAATATTTGTACATTTTGTGAAATGGTTTAGCGTTCCATGACATTCATTAAATGTTATTATTTTTTATGGATCCAGTGATTTTCTTTTTGCAGCTATGAAATATTTGTACATTTGAAGCAACAAAATGTACAGCAACCTAAAAATAGAAGTATTTAAGTCAATCTTGTAGTACAATAACTTTAAACAGAGATAATAGTGTCGCTCTCATATCCACAGCACAGCCTGGTTGCCTGCAATTATCACCATGTAACTTTGGCAGCTGCCTGCGGTCATCTCATGAGAAGTGCATACGGTTATACGACACTAATTAACACAATAATCTTCAGCCGTCTCTGTACTGTTGGATACAATGGCTGAGGCTAAGAGATGGAAGGGGACAGTGACGGATGAAGCGGGACTGATTCAGCAAAGAAGAGAAAAAGAAAGTGACAAGGCAAGATTCAGGACTAGAGGAGTTATTGGACAGGCTTTTACATGTTGGCGAGAGCCTCATGAAACAGGTTGCAGGCAAAGGCGCCCTTCTGAGCAGCCTGTTTAAGTTGGTTGTCACCTACATTTGCCTGACTGAAGTAGGTTGCAACAGTGTTTCTTTGCTCATTTTAATATGGCTTTGTGTGACGACATTTCCACTGAGGCGATGTTGCAGTTGCAGTGTGTGCAAAACGCAGCATATTCATTGGCTGGTACTTTTCAAAGGAAGCTGTAACTCTCCAGTAGTGTTGGGACTAAAACTGTAACTATCTATTTAGTAAAATACCAACATGAATATGGCTACAGTGTTATTTGAAATGTGCAAGTTGTCACCGCTAAATAATGTGAGCACTAATTTTGTTTTGTTCGTTGTTTGAAAAATAATATTAAGTTCTTTGTCAGTTTACGAATCTGTTGTTTATTGCCGGTAACATGTAGTTAGCATACACCTTCTACCTCGGCTATCTATCTTACCTCTGTCTATCTTTTACATGTCTCATAGCTTTTATGATTAACCACTATCACCACCTTGTGGTCCACTGTAATAGCACTTGATCATCGCACTAATATGCGTACTGAGAGAAAAAGATTTCCCAAGTACTTACTTTTTGATAGTAGTAACTGTAACTAGTTACTAATTTTCAGTTACCTGCTGAACGATGCTCTCCAGAGGCTGACTTTCTTTTCATTATGACCGCTAGCCTACCTGTCGCCATGCAACAAGTCCTGTTAGTATGATAAGCTAGGCTAGCTATGCAACTGCACCAACCCAGAGATTGATTGACACATCTACAGACAAATCAGTATTGAACTTTGACCCCTGATGCATTAGTGATGTTTTCTCTATGGATTCAAAAACCGACAGCCTTGACAACGACATTGATTAATATACAGACAAATCAGCCAGCAAAGCAAGGATGAATCGAATAGGTACATGAATTAGAAAAGGCATGAATAATAAGATGGACCCAAATATGACCTCCAGCAGTGACCTCCGTTGTCCATACATACACGTAGTCTGTACCCTTTGTGATGATGATGATGACATCAAGTCGGCAAGTCAGGCGAATCATATTTTTTTCGCCTTTTGGAGTTGTTTTTCCGACTTGAGCAGGTGTTGATGTGCATTTTACAACTCTGAGACTCATTTTTCCCATGTTTCCGACACCACATGAATGCACCATAAGGCACAAGCAAACTGGCACACAAGGACGGAAACACAGATAACAAGACACAAGTGAGACACATCAGGTAATCACAGATTCAGGGAGAAACTGGGGGAAGGGCAGGAAGGATCATACCTTAAACGAGGCACAGGGTAAGAAACCAAAATAAAACAGGAAACACAAGACATAAAACACAAGGATAACAAAATAAAATACATAACTAGCGTGGAGCTGTGCCAGAAAGAAGCTAGTTTGGCAGAACCAATTGTCTGTGCACTTTTTTCCAAATCAAACAAACATGTCCGTCTGCAAGCCATCTTTAATCTGCAATCATATTTCTTTTTGCGTCAACATTTCCTTCTTCTCCTTCATGTCTCTCAAGTTACAACGACTTGCAGTCCTCCTTCTGCTCAACAACAGCACACACACAGACACGCACGCACGCACACACACACACACACACACACACACACACACACACACACACACACCACACACACACACACACACACACACACACACACACAAATCCATGTTTCCTCTGATCTTCCATCAGTAGCCAGATCCCCCTCCTCTGTGTCCTGCCCCTCCTCCTCGTCACTATCTCTCTCTCTGCCGGTGTCTCTCTCCCTCCACAGTTGTCATCACATATTAAATTCCCCACGTCCTAAGAAGCAGAACGAGCCTCTGGAATCTAGTGCACTGGTTTCGCTTCACGGAAAGAGGTGACGGTATGAAGGGTGACGGTATGAAGGGGAATCACTGAAGTTAGAAAAGACCACAGAGAGGGATTAATGAGAATCTGAGAAGAGTTAGGGAAATAGACTGTGAGGAAGATGATCAAGCTAAACATCAAGCCACCTGCTGTTTAATGCAGCGACATTGCTGGCATGTGGCTGCCTGTGCACAGTGGTTCCCTCTCCTCCCTCCAGCTGACGGCTGCAGGATCCGCACTCAAGTCGACGCTTGCTGCCTTATTTATCTTTTAGCAGTAACGTAAAGCAAAAACGTTCACTGATTCCGCTCATATAAAGGATCTCTGTCTGTACATCTTCATGCCGGCTGACACACTGACCTTTGGGAAAACTCTACTGGACGTGGATCACTTCAAGCCACGTGAATAACAGAGGCGACCTATGTGGAGCTCAGGTAAGCTCATCACAGACTACTGAGCAATGTGAACCCACCGACAACCTCGAGCAGTCCTCCTTTGATCACCTTAAAGTAACCGAGGGGTGTGTAATGCCCTCATTATTGCAATATTCAGAGCAGAAAGAAAGAGGGGGTGACAGAAGACTTTGAAGGTTTCTCTTTTTGATGAAAGTTAGGGTCGTCTCCAACTAATGTCAGCACTCAGAGTCCGATAAGAACCTACACTTGTTCCTTGTCTGACCTCTGACCTTTATCGTGAAGTTCCGACATGATGCAGAGAAGGAATGATGGATGAAGGGAGAGAGAAAGAGAGCATGCTGAGATACAGACAACTCTTGATGTGCACTTCATAACATCCCACAAGTTGTTCCTCCACCAGTATCACAACAGGAGAGTTCTTGAGATACTGGAGTGGAAGTAAGTTTTTAGTTTTAAAGGCATGGATTCAAATGATTGTAAATTGTTACAGAATCTCAATGGGGAGACGTTCTGCAACAAAACAGTTTATAAAAATGCAATCGGATCAATTTTTCCCCCTACTCAGGACCTGTAGGGTCCTACTCATGCCTACGCCTTGAGCTGCTAAGAACTCAAAACATCATCTCCATTATATCAGGTCAAGTCACTACTAGTCATGTGATCTCAGTCAATCATGTGATATGAGCTGATCTTACATGCTGGGGATTTTTGAGTGGAGTATTTGCTGCTTAGTAAAAATATATATTAAAAAATATGCACCCAAATAACAAACTGATAATACAGTTTATGATTAATGAGTATTTTAACATTACAAAATGTCAGAAAATTGATATTTTAAATGGTCCAGTAAGTTTAAATATATTAAACATAGTAGATAAGTTGAGTTAATTACTCAACAAAGCATGGTGTGTCTGTATGTGTGTGTGTACATTTAACAGTGAACTTGACTCCTCATTCCAAGGGTACAGGTTTAGCCCAGACTGTGTGTGTGTCTCTGTGTGTGATTTTTTTTGTGTCCATTCTAGTAACAACTATTTTAACCTCTGAGGTGCAGTAAACTGACGCTCTGCTCTCTGCCCCTCCAGCTCTCACTCTGCAACAGAAGTTTTAGTTAAACAACCACACACCTTCATACTAGCTTGATATTGTTATCAGAAATCAGGGTTTCTCAGAAATTACTTTAAACAATTGGATTGTGTAAAACATAGAGTTAAACATAATTCTGATGCAGGATAGAAAACTGCAGTAAAATATGTGAGAAAAGTTAAACGTTCATGAGTAGATTTCATCTCTTTGTCTCTGTCAGTTTTCCTTTTAACCTGCAAGGGTCCGATTTAACATAATTTTAGGGGCAATTCACGTGTGAAAGACATTAAATGAAGAATGCGTTAAATGTAGGCAGGACTCCTCAGGTCTCCTCAGGGCTCAACGGTAACGATCACAGCTAAAATTAGAGCTCAACAAGCCTGTCGACACAGTTATGGCCTGCTGGGGCAGTTTGACAGAACTGATAGGGTGGCTGGGGCCACACTCGACTGACACATACTTGCTCACACATATACATATAAACAAGCCTTGTGACTACTCTGCACTCAAACATTTTTTATCATTTCATCTATACTTTTTAAATAATTTGTAACTTATTATTACATAAATAAATATTATGAGGAATGTAACTCCACCTCAACTGTGTTAGGCATTTACTGCATGCGTTCAGTGTACCTGCCTACCAGAAACAAGTCCACTTTTCAAACACTTAGATTTGATCAGAAAATTAGTATTGTTTCCTGTCTTTTATTTAGAGAAGTTTGGCGGTGAATCCTTTTTTTTAAAAACGTTAACTCAGATTACGGGGCTGAGCAAAATATGATTATTAGCTAAAAACAACCAACGTTTTTTTAAAGCAACAAATACAGCAGGGGTTTTCAAAAAAGCTCTGCCCTCTAGCAAATAGCTGTGCCACCAAACAAAAGCAAATCTACCCTCTTTAAAGTGATGACAAAGTGAGCTTGAAACACTAGAGAAGGTTCAGTGGGCCTTAAGTCTTTTGTTTCCTTTTTTTAATTGTTTCTGTCACAATCTTTAAATTATTTTACTTTACTTGTGTTGATATCATGGTAAAAATACTGCATGAAAGGGGCATGCAGCTGAGATTAAGAATCAATCACTATCTACTTTATCTTTGAAAATGCTATGGAATAGTTGTTTAAATGTGGATGAAAAAAACCCGAAATAAACAGTTTAGATTAGTCAATTTTATAACTAAATGCATTCAAATATACTGAGACAAACACATGTATAAGCCTCTATTGTCACTGTGCCTGTACAGTAAAACTGCTGAGAACACTTCTATAGACTCCTGCAATAGAGTCTTTTTATTATAATTCTGACAGCTCTTGTATGTATAAGACGCTGTGCATTGTAAGTAAAAGGTTAGCTTAATTGAGATACGTCTTAAAGGCGTAATTATATTGTACAATATTCTATCAACCTTGCAGTAACATCTTGCAATTCTAAAACTGAAAAAAAAAAAAAAATAGTCAATCGTTTTACCAAGTAAGCAACTAAAAGCCTTCACTTCCATCCCCATGAGACACGCACATGCAGGATGGTGTGTCACCCGAGTCCAGTGATCTGGTTTCAGTTTCCCATGATGACATCCATTAAAGTCATGCTGGATCTGACCCTCCTGCCTCAGACAGCCACATTAGCACCTGGCCCATTGGCTACAACAATACACCTACCTGCATTATTCAGCTCAACTCGACTAATGAGGAAACCTTATCTCATGCACAAAAAACCCTATCGTGGGATCACACAAGTTAAACAAACAGCATTTGTTGTGACGACGGTTCATCATAATATGATGAACATACATGAATATTATTATCATGACTTCTTTTTCCAGTCAATCCTTGAAACGCGCTGCCTCATTTGCATTAGAGAGTCTGATAGTCATGAATACACTTTAGCAAAGTGTTTATCTTTAGAGACAATTCTGGGAAATGTTGTCACAGTTGGGCGTGCAGATGGCTCACTTTTTGGGCTCATTCAGCACTCCCTGTGTGTCAAACAGCTGTCATCGACCTCCTTCATCCTGCTGTTCCAACACATCTTCAACATTTCTTCACCTTCCTCTCCATCTCTAGTCAGTCTGTGTTAACCTCAATCTATCCCCGCCCCCCCCCCCTCCCATGCTTCATCGAGTGTCGGGAGCTGTCAGCCTGTGTCGCACTTCAGTGTCCACTTTTTTTTGTTCTGCAAGAACAGAGCACGAGCTCTGTCAGCATTGTAAAGAGTTTACTCTTGTCTCTGTGTAAACAGGTAGAAAGAGAGACAACAGCAGGTACAGCACAGGGGTAGGGGGCGTTGTGAATGCAGACATAAAATGTACTCAAGACATGTTTCAGATGCAACTGGGGTGAGGTGCAAGGTAGACAACAGAGCGTGACAAGAGGGGAATAAAAATTGTTAGAGGTAAACAGTAGAAAAAAGGGTGACAGAGGGAAAGGCAGAGCACAATTGACAGCAGCATTATCACTCTGCCTCCTGAATCAAACACGCAAAGAAAACGCTCTGCACCGACTGCTGCCATTGGCTGAACCTTCAGCCTATCATGGCTCGGGAATGCAAGGTGCCTTTAGGTTATAGCCAACCCCAAAAGATGAGAGAGGGAGAGAGAAAGAGAGAGAGAGAGAGAGAGAGAGAGAGAGAGAGAGAGAGAGAGAGAGAGGCATGCTGTGGTGCAGAGGTTCCTCCAACAGTGCACAGCTCCATCTCAGCTGCATTCTCTGCTGTTCCTCCTGCTGGACTGAATATATAATAGTGAATAAATTACAGGCTCTCTTGCAGTAGTTTGAGTGTATGTTGTGTTGCGGTCAGGACTGCTGCTGCTGTACTGCTGTACCGCACCTCCTTCTCTTGCAACAGCTGGCTGGGCTGGAGATGTGTGTCGAGATCTGAAGGAGAGGCATCTCATGTGGTAGAGGGGAAGAAGAGGAGGAGAAACAGCGTAGGGATGCAAAGTGAAGGTTGTAACGCCTCATGTCTTCTCCATGTTGAGTTTTGAGTCACGTCAGTAGCAGATCGAGGAAGAGAAGAGTCAAGCAGGAGGAAAGCGTTCTACAGAGAAGTTGACAGTGGAAGGATACAGGATGATCTTGGGTAAGAGCATCAGAAAGGATTCGTCTCTCACTTTATATGGATTGGATTGATTTCTTGTTACACTTACATTCCTTTTCTGTGAAGGTAGGTACGTTTGGCAAAAAGTTTGGGCTGCATGTGCTTTAGTCTCAAACTTAGTTGTACCTTAGATGATCTATTTACTATGTTAAATAGTTAAGTTCACATGAAGACGAGTGCATCATGGTAGGGTTGATTTAGGAAAAATGCATAGATTGTGTGAGAAAGATTAGTTACTGTTTTTGTTAATTTAACGTTCCAAACAGAAATACAATCCCAGCATTCCCTGTGTTGGGAGAGGAAAGTATTGCAGTAACTATCTGACGCTATTACTCTGAAACACACATGCACACTGACACACACACACACACACACACACACACACACACACACACACACACACCCACACACACACAAGGACAGATAAGAGGCAAACCCGCATTTTGAAGCTGAAAGATCCAATCCATTTACACACTTAATATTACCACATTCAGTTTTTCATATATTTTAAGGAATCTTTTCCAAAAAAGAAAGCCCAGTGAAGGTCATATTTAATTTCAGATACTCCAACCTGACCCTCAGTCAAGAATGTCTTGGTGATAGTCCAACTTCAGTGATCAGTCATCTCATCTTCTCACTGGTTCAAGTGGCCTCACCACTGACAGAATGTCCGCATGTCATTCATCAAAATAATCTCCTGCCTCGTTAACAAACATTATTATCATACACCTCTCAGTTTTCATGGCCAATGTTCATTCAGTCTGAGGATTAAGTATCCAGACTGCTTAAGTGCAGTCTCTCGCTCACTCAGTGTTAATACAAAGGCTTAAACATAA